TTGAACAGCTCGCGCCAGCTCATTCCATGTGGAGACTCCAGCGCGCGCGATTGCATCCACGACGCTGCCTCCGGACACCCTCCACTTCGAACTTTGTCTTGCCACGCACGCTCGACCACGCCCCTGAACTCCTCCGCCCCCCCCCCCCCCCCCCCCCACCGCGCGCCCTAGCAGTCAATCTCGGCCGCGATGATCACGCGGCCCAGTATCGCAACGCTTGGAGCGGCTCGCACTCCCCTGGTGAGATTGCAAGCAACGGCGCCGCGCTTGCGCCCTGGCCATCCACGGCGCCGACATCGCCAAGCGGACGACGCGGCTCGAGCCCTCGCGCCTCTAGAACGCGAGTCGGGCCGCAGGAAACCAGCTCGCTATCACTGCTAATCCACAAGACCCCATCCACTCGCGGCGCGCCGCGCCAGCACCGCGTTCCATGCATCGGACAAACGGCCCCAAGTTCACGCTGCTTGCCTCTTGCACGAGGCCCTCGTGCGACTGAAAGCCACCGTGGTTCAGGTCTGTCGGAGCTATGACAACACTCCAACATGGCGCGCCTCCAGAGACGCCGTGGATCGCCCCCGTGATGCGCCCCGCTGTCGCATCGCACTCCGGGGCGCCCCTCGCCTCCGTGGACCTCGGGGGGGTAATGGCTCGCTATCAGGGCACTCAGGGCACCGTCGGTCTGGGGCGATTTGATTCGGGCTGCCCCAAGCCCCCCGCGTAGCGCAGTGCGCTGGCAGGACACGATGGAAATGCGATGCGCGGAATTTTCGGATTAACCGAATCTCGACTCTCGACGACACATTTTGTTTCCGACGGGCTCCCTCGAGCACTGCTCTACCCAAACTTCAACATCACTAAATGTGCATGATAGAACCGCTCGTGGTAGGCGGATTGAGATTTGGCTTTCTTGGCGGTCGTCCCCGGCAGCAGTATGACGCGTGAACTTGACCTGCCGGGCGACCTCCAATGCTTTGTCACCGCGCGAGAAACGCGCGGGGCGACATTGCAAGATCTCCATCTGCGTGGCCACGCATCGCAGCGCCGACGAGAGATAAAGGGGATGCGAGGGCGCGAGGACACGCCCATGCCCAGCGACCCCAGGCCAAGGCATGCGCAACGATGATGCTGGCGATGACGATGACGGGGGCAGCAACGACGCCGACGACGACGGCGGCGGTTTTCCGGGGGGGGGGGGGGCGGATAGCAACAATGCAACTCCAGCCACGCCCGTCCGCCGGTCGCAAGATAGGGAACTAACGCCGCGCACTGGGCGACGAGAAATAAATCGCATCGCGAGTTCTTGCGGCAGCGCGCCCGGGGGGCCGGGGGGGGGAGGTCGACCCTAGAAGAAAAATGGAAGAGGAGAGCCTGGGGCCATTAGGCGAACGATGCGAATGCGCCCTTGGGCGCGCCAGCAAGGCGGGCGCCAGACCCCGCCGAGCGGCCCAGGCGGCCGGGGCGGGGGAGTTGCAGGAAGAGGAGGAGGGCGCCGACAAGACAGATTAGGGCCGCAGGTTTCCGCGCCCATCCCGCGCGCTCTGGCGACTCGAGCCGGGGGCGCGCCGCGCCGCGAGGACAGCGGCAGCAACAGCAGGAAGAAGGAAACAAACGGCAGGACAGAGAAGGGACACAGACAAGAAGAAAACTTGCTGCGGAACAAGCGACGACGAGAGCAGCTGGGGGGGGGAAGCAGGCGCGCAAGCGAGAGAGGACGCTGCAAAGCGAAGAACAGAAAGAAGAGGGCGAAACGGAAAGCAACGCGCACAAGCAGGGGGCGGGGGGCGAGGAAACTGCTGGCCAGCTAACACGAAACAGCATGCAAAAGGCATTGACAAGCGCGGCCCCCCCGCCCCGCAATAGAACTCGGCCGCGCCACGGGGCGGCCAAAACCGCCGAAGCTAGCTGGGCGCGCGCAGTCACGCAGCGAAGGGATCGCGCTCACAGCAGGGGCTAGGTCGGCTGTTGCAGCCCAACGGAAGAGAGGGGGAGGGAGAAGACGCGGCTGGCCCACTCTGTCGGCCGCCCACGGGCCTCTCGCGCGCAGCCGTCGACAGCGCCACCGACGTCCTGCAGCGCGAGTGCGCCGCGGGGGCGCCCGTTGCGCACGCGGTGCATGGCGTGGGCGGACGCGGCCCGCTCGACCACTGCGCACTCGCCCTGTCGGCGCCGGTCCAATCTCATCAACGCGTCAGCTCGAAGCCTTGGCCAGGTCGAGGAGCCCCAGAAATCTGGAATGTAACGCGCGGGCAACAGGGCAGTCGGCGAAATGCCTGACGCTGCCCGCCCCGTCATACCTGCATGAGCCAGCTTGGCCGAAACGCGATCGCGCGCGCCACCCGTTGCATGGGGGGCGAATGACTGCGGCCCAAACCCGCGGCAGGCAGCGTCGCCCGACGATCTGCAAGTTGCGGAGCGTCAGTGTCGGCCGGTGGCCAGGTAGACATACCAAAGGCCAGTGCCGGAGCTTTTTCTGGAGGTGGATCTGGGAGTCCACGCGCGCTGGGCCATACAACTGCTCCATTGCACATTTCTACCAGCCCTCCTTGCGCCGCTGAGGGGCATCCGGATTGGCGCGCCGATGGGCGTTGACGCGCTCCGCGGCCCCGTCCAGACGCGAGGATCAAGAAGCTGTCTCGCTACGCGTACAGCCAGCCAAGCCGTTGAAGCGATGCTGTTGTACTCCAGCAGGAGAGCCGCTGCAAATTCTGGGCCCTCTGGCGGATGCGCAAGCGTCCGTTCGTTTCCCGCTCAACCACCCAGGCGATGGAAACCGCAAGAATCAAAGGCAGGTCTTGAATTCATGAGCGCACTCTGCCGGCATCCAATCCTTGGGGCCTCGGGCCATTTTTTTGAGGGCCTGGGCTTCCTCTTACTGAAGTTGCGGCGGAAGGTCCTCCAATTGGCCCACGAATAGGAGGACCAAGGACTTGTGCAGTCGGTAGGATGCACGCCGACGAACAGGAGGACCAATGGAAACTCAGGAGCATGCCGACGCCCACTCCCCCAGAGAGCCCCCCGCTCGATGTACCTTCGCAGCGGCGCCGTCCAGGAGGCGATGCTCCGGCCAGGGCCCACGTACAAGCCAAAGTACTTGGCGGAATCCTGGATCAGCACCCCCGCCCACCCAGGGGCCTCGGCCCCAACCTAAACCCGCAATGTCCGCGCGAGCACCTGACAAAGGATCCGTCGGCACCAGCACCGCCTTCGGGAAATTGAGACCGAGCCCAGAAACTGCTTCGAACTCAGAGAAGAACTGCTGGAGCATCCGCAATTTGTCTTGCGAACTGGCGGTCACGGGGGCGAGGTCGCCCGCGAAAGACCGGGTCGCATTGCCCGCAAGGGTCCGTCGAAGCCGACGTAGGTACAAGTCCTAGCACGCAGGGAAGAGTAGTGGAGAGGGCAACCCTGCCTGATGCCCTGGGTCAGCTGAAAACCATCGTACCGAATGCCGCAAACTTGCATATGGCACTCGTTGTCCCAGTAGAACGTGAGGATGAAATTCATGAGCCATTGTGGCCAACACAGAGGCTGGAAGAAGCGAATGACAAACTTCTGATCGACGTAGGGGAAGGCCACGGCAAAGTCAAACAAGGAGGCCATGCCCTCCTCCCCCTCTGCCGCGGTGTAGAGCATGGCCTCATCCACGCCAGCGATGTTCCCTAGCATCGAACGCCCCCGGATGAACCCTCTGGCAATCCGTGATAAGAGGGGCCATTGGCAGGTTCCAACCAGAATATGATGGCAATTGCTGGCAGTAGATTGCCCGCGTTCGTCACGTTGAGCGGCCGCACGCCCGCTGGATCGTAGAGGTCAGTGCCGTCCTCCGACTGCCCCGCGGGTTTTTTGGTCAAGACATGCAGGATGCTGTCGTTGGAGTCCAGGTACTCCTCCTCCATCTGCGCTTCCGCCGGATCGGATGACAAATCTTGGAACGCCCCCAACAGAACGTAAATGGATAAATTGTCCATTGTGCTCCAAGCCTCGCAGGGGATACCATTGGTCCAGGGTAAGAGTTGTTCGAGCACCTGATGGCGCGCTCGGTATGCTTCCTCGTGATCCGCATGTTCTGCAAACTATCGTGTTGCGGGCAGTGAGTTTGTCGATGTACAGCATCGTCTCCCAGCCATTGCTGTAGAAGCTCCTCGTGCACCCCGCGATCCTAGAAAACAGCGGCCCAGTGGTCGCGAAGAGCACCTGCCATGGAAGACGGCTCCGTGGTGATGGCTATGATGATGATGATGATGATGATGATGATGATGATGATGATGATGATGATGATGATGATGATGCTGGTGGTGGTGATGATGATGCTGATGCTGAGTATGATGATGATGACCACGATGACGACGATGATGATGATAATGTTTATGATGCTGTTGATGATGACGACGACGACGACGACGACGATGATGATGATGATGATGGTGATGATGATGACGATGATGATGGTGACAATGATGATACTGGTGATGATGACGATGATGATGATGATGATGATGATGATGATGATGATGATGATGATGGCAATGAAGACCGATGGTTGATGATCCTGACGGGATGGTAATACGAAGACGACGGCGGTGGTGCGATGATGACAGTGACGGTGATGGTGATGGTGATCATGATGAGTGCGACGCGGGAAGAGGATAAAAGGAGGAGGGGGTGTGGGTCTGAAGACTACGTGGGGTGTCCAAAGAAGAGAAGGAACCCACGTAGGATGTGGGAAGAAAGTCAGAGGAGCCGAAGGAGGGGGCAGGACGAGGAGGGAGTGAGGGGAGGACAAAGACACAAACACGCTCCCATCCCAACCAAAATGCCCTCAGAAGCTGGTCGCCGTCCCCTCCAGGCACGGCCAGCCGTGGCAAGTGTTCCCAAGAGGTCGCGCCCGCCCGCGGCGACGACGGAACGCCCCGAGGGTGTGGGAAAAACCGCGTGCTAGTGCAAAGACAAGCTGGCCTTCCCCTGCTGGCCAGCCCCTTTGCCCAACGCCTCCCCGCGGCCTCCCCGCTGGCGGTGCGCGGCTTCAGGGGAAACCTGGGCGAACGATTGGGGGAGGAGGAAACCAGAGGACTGGAGAGGGGTCCAGGTGGGTAACGGAAGGAGGGGCAGAAGGGCGAAGGGAGAGTAGAATGCAGAAAGGGGGGAAAGAAGGAGATAGGACGGAGGAGGAGGAGGAGGATGGAGGGGAGGGGAGGGGAGATAATGCAAGGGAAGAGGGGACGAGGGAGGGGGGAAGGGAGGGGCCTTGCTGACGCACGCAAAACAACTCGGATGAGAGCCAGCACGCCAACGCGCGCCTACACGGCGTCGCGCTGTAGATTTATCTGGGCATCCTCCGCGGGGCGCGCCTTGATCCCCACTCGCCCGGCAGGCCAGCAGCGTGGTTGCGTGGGTCCGCCTGGAACTACGGGCAGGCCGGCACACCCACGCAGCGCACGAGGCGCCCGCGAGGCACCCACCACGGGTTAGGCACAAGGCGAAGCCTCGGCACACACCCAGCGCACGAAGCGCCCACAAGGCTCCAACGCGCGCCCACGGGCGGGCACAAAGCGAAAACTCTGCACACCCACCCAAGACGAGGCGCCCACGCGGCGCCCACCAATCGGGCACCAGTCGAAAACCCGGCGCACCCAACCAATTACCGTAAGTAACACATCCCCTAAGTGCAGGCGCTGTTTGAGGAAAAGCACAGACTGTTCAATCATGGCTGCGTTTACGCAGTTTGAAAAGGGTTGGGAGGCCTAACCAGCAGCTTCGCCTTAGGCGAAGCCCAGCTCCAGCTCTGTTGTACCGTAATAACGATAGTCCCAGTAGTAGGAGATCGTCGCGAAAGCGACGAGCCATCTCAAGGAAAGGACGTTTTGGTCTCGATGGCAAATGGTACACCTCGCGCTGAGGTGTAGTCAGATCTGGGCGGCCGGCCGCTTGAGCACAAACGGCCGCGGACACACGCTCGTTACATCTCGCCTGCATCCAGGCTCACTTTAGAGTCGGGGGGGAGGGAGACGAAGCGTGAGCCCGCCGCTCCTATACAGCAGATGCAGCAGCTACTACGCACAAAAGGGCAGCAAAAGGGCGGGGCCATAAGGAAGGTGGACCCGCACGCAAGTTGCCTTGCCTGCATTTTACGATGCATACGAGTATTCCTCAGGCGGCCGCAGACCACGATGTCTGACCAGCCCGACAAGGAACATGACGCTTTAAGTCATGCCTGAAGGCCTGTGTACCTCCCATGGCCTGTCGGAGCACATCTCTGTCGATGTTCCCCTCTGTGCGACCGTCCGCGGTCATGTGGCGGGTGCCACACCACAAAATACAATGCGCGATTCCTCGCTCCATCATCTGTCGTATCCAACTGATGTGTCCTAGAAGGGTACACTCAATCGGCTGCTTCAAGTCTTCGATTGACAAGGTTTTTTTGTTTAACAAAAAAAGACTCAGCATCGATGGTCAAAGTGACCTTGATGTTCAGGCCACCCAACTCGAGTATGTCTTTCAACTGAGTGAGAGTTAGCGGCCCTGCGTGGAGCTCGTGCAGGGTCGCGATCGTGGGATAGATATCCTCCCAGTTGCGGGCTGCGGCTGCTAGTGTCTCTGCTGAATCTCTAGAGCGGACCTGCAAGCGGTGAGGCTTGCAGCGCGCATCGATCAAGTGAACGACAGGCTTGCCAGATGGCGTTTTTTTTTTTTCCACGCCGCAGCAGGTTTGCCCCGCGAATACCATAGCCTGTGACTTCGTCGTCTGCATCTCCACTCAGGCGTCGGTAGCCAGAGTCGCTGCGCAGGTCAACTCCGCCCGTGGGAGTCATCGCTTGGTAGACGAACTTCTTAGGGCAAGCTTGCAGTTTCTTGGTAATCGCGTTCAGTCGTCGCACTTGTATGTCGGCGGGCTATTTGACACGTTGTAGAGAGACTACATATACCATCAACCACACCTGCGCGATCAATGCATAAGCCAATGCGCCTCTGAGGCGGGCGAAACATGTCTGCCATCATATTGGATGCCTTGGCGTCAGCGTCGGGCCCGTTAAGTCCAAGATTTCGTACAGGACGGAGCTGTTTGATTTATTCGTCTTGGTCCAACGCATCGTTGTCGTCCTCATCCTTGGTATACCTCACAGCACAATTGGTGCACGTATGCTTCTTGAGTTTAGATTTACCAAATGTGTCCTCTACGCACTTGACGCACTTGTCAATGGTGTCCTCGGTGCTGGCCATATGGCATCAACATGTTTGGCTGTGAGCAGGTTGCTGCTCGTCTCGAACTCCTCGTCGTAGGACGTGCGTCTGAGACCGAGGCCACCTGTGGTCCTTCGGATCTTTAGTGAGAAAGCTCGAGGTGCGTCCTTGGCGCCAGTGCCTGGCTTGAGGCACTGCAAGCAGTGCTTCGACTCGTCGCAGTGCTCGAATCCTGGGAGAGTTCGAAGCACCGTGGCCGATCCAGGCGGCAGGGTAAAGCACACCGCACGTTCTTTCCCACCAGTTGCCTCAGCGAGTTCCTGGTAGGTCAACCCTTCCAGGAAGGCAGTGTGAATGTCGAGGGAAGCAATGATCCATTGCTTCTTGCACGCTGCCGCGCTTGCGAGTAGCCTCTGGTTTGGCCGCCGCGCTGTCCCTGATGAGACTGCCACGTCGAAGGCTTCGAGGTCTATGAAGCCTCGGAGCACCAGGCGTAATCCGATGGCACTCTCCATCTCGTTCGTTTCGTTCTTCGCGAACTTCCATGTATACACATGCATCGGAATCGCGATGTTTGACGACTTAGGTATACCTTGCAGTTTGAAGCGCTTGTTGTCAAACAGTGGCTTGAGCTCAGTGTATAGGGCCTTCGGTGCTTTCTCTGGATTCCCCTGGACGTCAGCTTTCGCGAGGAGGTCGTCTTCCTTGACGACCGCAGCTCGCTTTGCAACGGCGGGAATATATACTCGCACGGTGGTAGCACGGTCGACATTCAATATCCTGCGCCGTTGCTCCGATAGGACTACCATTGACACTTCTGCCGCGAAACAGAGTTCAACATCGTGTCCGTTAGCGCCTGAGTCCACTCCGTAACTGTAATCTTCGGCCGTGGAGCACAGCGGGACATGATACGTCTCCTTGACGTCGGAGTCGCGAGGGCGCCCCCACTTAGGCAAGCGCCCCCGCGGTGCTTCAGCGACATTGACCAGCACACTGTTGTCTGGAATCGCATGTGAGGGTGCGTTGAAAAGGTCATCTAGTGGAGTTGTCTCCAGCAGTTCCCTTTCCATCATGTTGTTCTGCACTGCACGCCACGCTTCCATGATGCGCGCCTCGAGGTCCGCACCCGATTCCTCAAATATCGTGGGAAGTCGCCCATCCTCCAGTGGCGGTTCGGCTTCTGGGGCTTCGCCGGCGGTTCCGTCTTGTGTAGGCATATCCGCCAATTCCTCAAACGTTGCCACGTCTTGGTCACAGCCCGCTTGGGTTTGGCGGACTTCAGGCACTGGATGATTCTCCATGTGCTGATCCAGTTATACCATGAATGTTAACAGCGGTGCCTCCTGCTTCATAGTCGTGAAACCCTGGAGTCACATCGCTATCACAGTGGACAAACGTGCAACTGTCGGCGTTAGCCTCCAGAGGTAGCTCGTGGATACTCTTGGCCAACCCAACAGAAACTACATTCTCGATGCGGAAGAAGTTTCTGATAAAGTATTGTAACGCCAGACGTACCTTAGGAAACAATCGGCTTGCACTCGCCATCTGAAGCGCCCCCTTCTTCGTCGGGACATAGGCAAATGTCATAGCAGGTCCCCCCGCAGGTAAACTGGCCACGAATGTCAACACTGTCAGTAGTGCAGTGCTGTCGGAGCCAATCTCCCTGGCTATCAAAGCTTCGATGTAAAGTGAGTGTCGCGCATCGCCGTATTGTACTTGAACGTCGCGGCTTCCCACTCGAATGATGACTCGAACCCCGTCGGGATCATTTCTCACGACCGGGGACGGGCCACTCCAGCCTCCCCAGTCGTCCTTCGTAGTTGTGGGGCGATGGTAGTCAACTAGATCTCCTTCATCGTAGTAGTGCTGACCGGCGATAATTGTCATAGTGCGTAATGCGCGATTGGTCTTGGCTACTGCAGCGGCCTGTGTGATAGCTTCAATGCACACCTTGCGTGTCATCTGTTCTCGAGAATAATCAGACGTTTCCGCCGGCTGTTCGTGATCCAGAACAGGCAAGTCAGGGAGCATTGCCGATTGCCGTCCAAACAGGGCGGTGCATGGAGACACCGCATGATAAAAGGTGAATGCGTTGGCGGCAAACAGGGCTTCATGCAGTAGTCGTGTGAACACAAGAGGTATGTCTAACCTGATGAGCTCAGCTTCCACGGCGTGAAGTAGATGGCGTAGTATGCCATTTCTGGCTTCGACCGTCGTAGCGCGTTGTCCACGCGCGGGTATCCTTAGCTCAGTGCCTTTTGCCTTGAGGACTGCTTCCGCAGTGTCCTTGTTGAGGGCGCCCTCTCCATCGGAGTAGAGTACCTTTGCAGGTCCAAACTGCATCCAGCACTGATGGCACGCATCCAGGATATTGGTCATTGTCTTGTCCGGTATCTCTATTCCAGTGGCATAGCGAATTCAACGGTCGATGCTGTGAAATATATCATGTTCTTGTTTGTAGAACGTGAGGTCGCGGTCAACTCCTTCGTTGAACTTGCCAGGCAGCGCAGTAGACGGCATAACCGTATGCCCAAGCTTGTCCCAAGCCCTGCACTCCCGACACGCATCGCAGACACCTTTGATCAGGTTGAGTCTGACGTGGTCCAGACCTGCCTTGGTTAAGACGAGTATCATCCTAGGCTCTTTCGCCTGGAACCAACGCAAGTGTAGCTTCCGCAGCTCGCGTGTTTACCGCGCTTGGTTCAAGGCTTCGTAGGTTTTGTAGACTGATCTGCAGGTCGAACCTTGACCAGTCTGGAAGTCGTGGGCGCGCAGCAGGGTGACCCGCTGGTGGCGGCGGAGATGGATAATTTCCTTGCTGTCGGCCACGTCTGACTCTGACCTGTGGCAGTCGG